CCCCCCGGGGGGGGGCCGGAGCCTCGCCGTGAGGCTGGGGCCCCTCGGCTGCCGGGTGCTGCCCCTCGCCTCGGCGTGCCGCCGGGTAAGCGGGGTGTCCGGCTGCGTCTGCACTCGCCAGAAAGAAACGGGCGCTTCGGGTGTGCTGTTTCGTGTTTTACCTTTAAAAGTGGTTAAAATAATGGGCAGCAGTACTTTTCGTTGTGTGAGCTAGGTACAGCTGGCCGGTGAGCTCTGTGGCCGGGGCTTTCCTGACAAGGAGGCGGTCTGTCGGGCGTGAGAAGCGACTTTGGTACCGGAGCTGTCACGGCCGAAACCGAAGGCCGCATTATCGCCCTGCCGGGAGCCCGAGGCAGCGCCTCGTTTGCATATCAACGCACGGGCTCCAGCGGCCGGAATTCCTTGCTCGCTCCTATCTCTCCTGCTAGAGATACAAGCTGCTTGTGCCAAGCTCGGCAGCGGTGGAGGCTTGCAGCAGGTCACTTTTGTTTGCATCTTGCAGGCGAAAGGACTGCAGGTGTTTGCCTTCCTCTGCATGTGGTGGGTAGTTCGGGGCTCTGTTTTAATACGTTCTAATGTAGGTTAGTACTGCCTGTTTCATCTCGGCTTCTGTGTTTCGTGCTAGAAGGTGTTGGAAGGTGATGAATCAGTGGACCAGCAAAAGGCCTGCATGGACAAGTTCTCCTTTTATTTAAGAGAGTTTTATCCAGTAGGAAGGTTTTATCCCGTGATTATCAGGATAAAATTAACTCGTGTAAGAGCTTGTATTTAGGGGAGGTACTTGAGAGAGTTAATGAAGTCACATTGATGCCTGAAGTATGGACTGGACTACGCACGTTACGTTTCTGTCTCATGTGTCAGCCACCTCTGATGCTGCTCCGTATGTTTGGGATTGTCCCAGACTCTGTGGCACAAGTCTAGATGGTGTGTAAGTGCAGCGGCCGTGTTTCCGTCCCTTCTCCAGCACCTGGGGCAGTCAGTGATGCTCCTGCCCCTATCAGGGATGCTGAAATGTCTGGAATTGCCTTTTCTGAGCTTCTGTTTGTCCGGTGCCTTTCTGTGTGCAGGACTGAAAAGGAACTGCCAGGTCACGACCAGGCTCCTGCAGTTGTTTCTGACTCAGCTGCACACGCAGAGCCCGGAGGAATGCTGACCAAAGGTCTGTTTCGTGCCCTTCCTGCTCGCTCTTGACATCCTATCCTATCTCTGCATCCTATTGCAAGCTTAACTGCTCTGCATGTTTATGTTCCTTCTGTATTAGCACCATGCTTTACCTCTTTATCAAAAATAAGATGTAGGAAGAGCTGGCCTGTGAGGGTGAACACCGTTGCTGTATGCCAGGTTCACTGTTGCCAGGTTGCCTTGATTTGGGGATTCTGTCAAGTGTGGAGAAACTAGAATCAGCTGTCATGCAGTAATGCTGTGCTGGCTTCCCAGTTGTTAGAAGACTGTCGCTTAATCCGTCTGTGAGTTGTTGGGTTTGTAGGGCTGTGCTGTTGTGCTTTGTAGAGACACTGTGCTGTGTGCTGTACGCTTGGAACACGGTGGCTGAGCCATGAACAGTGCTAGGCTCTTGGTGGCCTCAGAGGGTTTATGCAACTTCATCTCTTGTCAAGTCAGGTGTTCAGGATTTGCAGTGAAATTAGTTGGTTTTAGGGGGTCTTACACATCAGCTCAACTTACTCACTGCACCTGAGGCAATGTTAGCACTCCTGCTTTTGATTAGCTGTCCTTCACCGGTTTTATGTGTGAAAGCTTATGAAACTATGTCTGTCTTCTGAGCAGAGATAAGAAAACAGTTGCATATTGTTTGGTTTTTGGTTTTGTTCTAAGGAATGCTGAAAGGTTACATCTTCTGAGTTTTTCTTCTCTTCTCCTACATGTTGAAGAGTCACTGTAGGTCCTCTTGAGAAGATAAGAAATGTTGCATATTGTGTTCTCGTTTAAACCTGTGTTGGGGTAATCTTGCTATCAGGAATAGAATTCACTTACGCTTTACGTAAGCTCAGTCGATGAGGTGTCTGTACCTGGGGAACTTTGGCTGAACCAGAGAGGTGTGGGAGCCAGCTGAGAAACTGCAGTGACTTTGTAACTTACGTTAAACTTTTTGGATCAGCTCTGGTATAAGGAATACGCATGAGAATAATTTGAACTGGCTTTTTAGCTGATTTAGCTTAACCAGTCCAAAAGGTTCAGGGAATACTCTTCCTGTGCCAGAGTAGGTTATTTTGGGTCAGGTAAACACATAGAACTGGTGTGGTTCTACAAAAAGGAGCAGAATCTTAATTTTCCCTTATTTTACGAAGATAATTGAAAAAAGTATCTTCGTTTGGACCTTGGTAAGTCTCCTGCAAATGAGCTGAGTTTAGCCTTTTACCTACCTGTTCACCCCGTGCCTCACACCATGGGAAATTATGCTTTATTTATTTGCAAAGCATGTAAAAACAACTGGGTAACTGCTTTCAACTTGCTTTGCATGGTGGAAATGAATACAGAAATACGTCAGGAGCTGATGGAGACTTTACGTCAGACTTTGAAGATGTAAAATGAGTGGACTCTTTCTTAATAAGTGCAAATGATGATCTGTTAATGGTATAATGATGATCATTTCAATACTGAATTAAAGTTGGGTGAAAGAAAAGCACTTCCTTATGGATATATGCGTGTTACTGTTGAGTAAGTTGATGGTGTAAGGTTTAATAGCATTCAGTATGGCTGCTGCGTTAACAGTGCACCCATTTTCCTTGAAATAAGAACAACACTAATCTCCCTTCCCTAGTTAGGTAGGTGATGCTGAGTGTTTAGCTTGGACAGTTACTGTGCAACACATGATACGCTGTAAGCTTATGCCCTCGTTTGCCTTACAGTAATGTTGTTCCCGGCCATGAAGAAATTGGGAAAACATACAGGAGGCACTTTTTATATATAAAGCCTAATGCTTCATGATCTCTTGTGCTGCCTATCTGATGTGACAATCTGCCGACTTTGACAGAAGTGTCTTGGCAGTTTGGGCCCAGAGCTCTGAATAGCAAAACAAGAAAACATCTGGTCTCTGTTGCTGTTTTAGAAACACTAGAAGACTAATTAGTTGCATAACCACTAATATATAATAATATGTACAGTGAGCTCAAATAAGTACCAGAAACATAGGGACTGTTGTCTTGTAATGACCCACCTGCCTATGTCGCTGAGACTACATTTGAGGTACTTACCCTAATAACTGTCAAAATGCAACTCGTTCTTTATGCACCTCTTTATTAAGAAGTGCTAATGCTCTGTTTGCAGGTGTGTGCTGTTGTTTGTTTATGCCTAAAAGATACATTCTTGAGTGACAGATTGAAGTTCCTGCTTATTTCAGAGGGCATTGCCCTAATTGGGGGTTTAAAGTGAGCTGAAGCTGCCAGGGAAACAATTGCTTTGATCTTGAAAGAAAAGGTGATGTTATTGTTGAAGCAGCAGGGTAGAAGTAGGTTAAATTTAATGTGTGTTCTCTTTTTGCAGCATGCAAGTCACTTAATCTTTAGCTGTAGGTCTACATAAATGTGGCCCTTGTCTTGTGAACAAGTGGAACAGATGCTGGGTGCTCGTGGACTGAGGGCATGTTTTTGTGTGTTCAGTTAGTTGGAGCTTCTTTTATTTGTACCATAGAAATTCCAGCAATTGCAAGTTGAGAGCATGTTTGGAAATTGAACCACTGTTTTAACCACACAGCTGAGTGAAGATGTGGAGCGAGTATCTGAAAACCCAACAGATGAGACAGAAGGAGAGATGGAAGTTCATGAAGATGCCAGCTCTGTTATTTTACCAGGTGAGAACTATTGACCCAGAAATTACCAATTTTAAGCACCTGATGAGCTGCTTCTGTGTGGGGGTTTGGTTGTGTTGTTTTTTTTTTTTTTTATTGCATTTTGGAAAGCAAACAAAACATTAAATTACTTATTTTGGGGAATAAGTGCTGATGGAAAGCCAAGGAGTTTTTCCAAGGATCGAGATGAGACCATTTCTTTCTCGTGAACTGTGCTCAATCAAAGAAGATTCAGCACATCTGGTACCTTAGTATGTCATCTTCCTTTAAGTTGTATCTTACCTGAGTTGCAGTGTCTGAGACGGCAGTGGATTGCAAGCAAAAGTCTGTGCCAGATTTACGTGAGCAAGGTGCAATACTGAACAGATGTGCTTTTAAACAGATTTTAGTTAGACTGTTTGGACCTGCTTTTGGAGGGTGCGGGGCAGTGTTAAATGGGCTTATTGCAGCTCAGATGTAGGCATTAACGTAAGCCAACCTAAATGCTTTGCAGCTGTTCAAGACGTACTTGTTTCAATAGTGCAATTTTATGCATATTAATGTCCTAATTTCCTTGGCTGCCATCTCCTGGCAATGAACTTGGAAACATGTGTGTGACCATGGACTTTTGTAAGAGGCTATGTGTTCAATAGGATTTACTAAAAGACTAGTGTTTGCTGTGGTAAGGACCAAACACCGAACCATGCTATTATAGTTGAAGGGCAGAGTGTGGCATGGCCTGAGAGGGCCTGACTCATTAGATTACACCACACAGAAAAGTCAGCGTAAAATAATGCTGACTTATCTCCTTCTATATGTTGGGTTTTAATGCTCCTTTTGTGTGTTCAGCTATATATTGCTCACGATCAAAACATGACATGTAACTCAAGAGTATGTGAACTTTTCCCTTACAAGTATTGGCAAAAGAAATGGTGAATGCAAGGAGGATAGGAAAGGCAGTGTCTGTGTACAAGTGAGGCAAGTGTGCAGATCTTCAGAGAATAAGCTTTGAAGGCTGTGAGATAATTGGATCGGTCTTTTTCTAGCTGTAATTGGAAGAATCTTTTTTGTGAAACTTTATGTAGCATGCACAAGGAGTTACAAACTAGAGTCCAAAAACGAGAGGGCAACAAATATCTATTGACTTCTACCATGCTGAAGATGCAATGCAGGTAGCTGTGTAAGAGCATTAGAATATTAAATCTCTCTGCTGATGCATATGCTGAGTGTATAAGAATCATTTCAGACTGGGAAGGGGGAGAGGAGTTGTTTTTTCCAGGAGGAAAGATTGACCATCAACAGACTTTTTTTCCTATGAACTTTGAGCTTTGTTTCTGAGTTGTCCTTCTTGAAAATAAACCTTGTTTCCTGCCTGCCATGTCCTTAAGCAGAGTTCCAAATTCAGCATGTGAAAAAGAGGCACAATCTTTGGATGATTATGCCTCATGCTTGAGAAGGAAGTATCTGTCTGACTGGTCATCAAAACCAGCAATAGTTGTGTTTTTTTTAAATCAAACTGAGTTTGAGGCTTACTTTCCTCTCAAG